CGATTAAATATAATAAAGGGTTATTAATGCAGAATAGATCTCAACTATTGTAAGGGTTCACAGGAAAACTAATAAATGGAGAATTATACTAAACTATTGACACTTAAATGAGTTTATATTACATGATTTATTTGTCATTCCACTTATGAAACATATGTTACAAGCTTTTCATGATATTAAATTGTTTTCTAAAATATATATTAAAAATGGATTATAAAATATTGCATTAGAAGAAGGGGGTAATTCCAAAAAATAATGGAAAATATTTTTATGGAAATAATTCAAGAGAATTTTCATAGTTGTGTGTATTGATGATATCATCATTCTTATGAAAACACTATTTGAACATTTATAAATACTAAAACAATTATTCAAATTACTTATGAGTAATAGTTTAGAAATAATAATGGAAAAGTGTTAACGTCTTAAAACATTTAAAATATATCACGAACAAGAAATACATTAAAAATGCATAAGAATTTCATTAGATAAAGTGAAAATAATCATCAAATCAGAACATTATAAGTCAAAAAAGTAGATAAGACCATTCTTAAGAGATGATAATTATTACAGAAATTATACTAGAAACTTTTCAGAATGGATATCTAAACTAGTTCTATTATTAATTAAAAGAAAAGAGTTCCATGGAAAGAACATTCAAAAGCGTTTGAACAAATCAAAGAAAAGATGAATTAAATAACTCATCTTTCATTTCTAGGATTACGAAAGCCTTATGATATATACGCTGATGAATCAAACTAATCCATAGGAGCTGTATTAAGTCAAGTAGACAATGATACATATTATACTAAACTTATTCACCGTACATCTAGGAAATTATGTGACATATAACAAAGATGAAGTGCGATTAAAAAAGAATTATTCCCAATAGTAATAACATGTGAAACATTCAATTATTATATTAAACAGACTAAAACAATTATTAAAACTGATTTTAAAGGTATTATAGAGATGTCTTCAATTAATATGAGGAAATTATATCGATAGAAATTGAGATTATCATAATTTAATCTAGAATCTTAACATATTCAAGTAGTTCAAAACGATTTAGCTAATTGGAATACTCGATTAGTCTAAGATAAAATTGATCTTTCTAATTATGACATTATATTACAATAAGCCTCAAGAAGTATACGAAGATTTATTTTATACAATCTTGTAAAGAAATTGCCAATGAAACAAGAGAAAACAAAATTAACATACCAAAAGACTCAATATTGAAGTATAACTTCCCAATTTACTGCATAATTGGAAAATATATATACCAGAAAAATATAGAAATCATATAAGGTATTGGTTTCACAACAGTAAATTTACATAACATTATGAATTATATAAAACAATACAGAAAATACAAAAACACATTTGGTGTCCTAATATTATTAAAGATATAGAGTAATGGGTTACAAACTATTTGGTTTGTTAAGTAATGCTTAATAGAAAATTTAAACATAATAACATTCAGGCTTTATTAAAACCTAAAGTATTTAGTATGACTTTATTGAATATCATAGGACCTAAAACATGGAAGGACAGAGAGTACTTTATACGGATAGCAATTAATATTATAGAGAAAATATGGATCCCATCTTTAAGTTCCCTTGTAGAATTTTAACAGATCGTGGTTCAATCTATACAAGTAAGGAATTTCATGAGTATATTACTATAGAATTGCAGATAAAGTTATATAATACCAGCATATAATCTACGAGGAAATACTATAAATGAAGATTCTTATAAAAGTTTATATAATTAGAACTTTTCACGATGAGAAAAATTTAGCTTTTGAGGAAATATTACAAAATGAAGTGTTAATGTATAATAATGCACTACATGGAACAATAAGAAATGCATCATATTTTTCTAGGTTTTGAATGGATTTCATGTGTTTAAGATTTACTAATGCATTATCAGAAATGACTTCTGAGATAAGAATCATTTATTTAAACGATTTGTGGAAAGTATATAAGAAGATATTAACGAAATTAAAAACACATAATTGAGAATAAAGATATTAAAGTTGTATACATTATTTCTTATGAATTTTCAGACTATTATATAAATCAAAAGATGTATTATAGTGGAACTGCTCAGTATAAACAACATTGATCATATCTATGTAGAGTAACTAAACCTAAAAATGGAATTCTAAAATAGATATCTACATGTTATAAAGGTAAAGAAATACAAATTCCATTAAAAAAATTTAAACTTGTGAGTAATAAAACGAAGGAGGTATATAAAATACAATTGAAGAATCTAATACGAGTTATTAACAATAATAAAATAAAACTAAATTTCACGAATGAATTGAAGAATTAGTATTATTTCGACGTTTATAAGGAAAACAGTGTAAGACCTTATGACATTAGTAATTAGGACAGGAAAATTGAAAAAGGAGTATCAAAAGGACTTGGTATAATAAAACAAATTAAAAATAACAAAATTTAAGCAATAGCTATTGCTTTCTCTTGGTGATGAAATATGATTAACAAAAGGCATTATTAACCTCTTTGGAAATAAAAAGTAATATCTGCATGGAGAATAAATAGTCATATGTTCAAGCGCTAGATAAAAAAAAAAATTAAAAAAAAAGAAGAGTTGTTGACTAAAAATTTTTTATAATATATTTTGTTTTTATTTTATTTAAGAAAATTTTATACTAACAATAATAAAATTTTCACATTTTATAATATTTATATAATTTATTTTTTAGTTTGTTAATAATTTATGTTTATTTACTTAGAAAGCAATGGGTTTTGAATTTCTAAACATTACACATAACAATATCAATACTGTATACGTAATTAGAATAAGTAATTAATGAGGATATAAATTTTTAATAAAAAATGGGAATTTTTACTAAAGTAAATAAATACCTTTTAAAAAACAATAAATGATCAATGAAATAGACTATATACATAAAACGGTTTACTGATTTATAGAATTAAAATTATACATAAATTCATTAAATTAATAGAGGAAACTTTACATAGTTTTTATTAATCTGTTTGTTCTATACTCTAGAAAAGTTAATAAATAGGCAATTAATAAATCAAACAACAAAAAAAAACTTTTTTTCTGTATAAATATTTTTTAAAAAAAAAAAAAAAAAAAAAATATTTTGTGTATGAATTTTTTTTTATAATTTTTATTTTTTTTATAATCTATTTTTAATAACTAAAATTTAAAAAAAAAAATAAAAATATAAGGTTAAAAAATATTTTATTATGATATTTCAAAAGACTTTTAAAATGGGACAATTTTTTTATATTAAATTGTTTAATTTCATAGGGTAAAAATATTTTTTCTTTTGAAAGTTCGTTTCCTACTAGTAAAGTCAACAGATATTTTCCTAAATTCTGTATTAATTTGATTATTTAACACTTTTCTAGTTTGCCTTTACTAATTTAATAAATTTAAATATAATTTTAAATTCTAGAAACCAGTAAAATGTATTTATATAGTCTACTTCATTAATCATTCATTAATTATAAGAGGCATTTATTTACTTTAATAAAAATCCCTATTTTTATTAAAAATTTAAAGCGTTAATTGTTTACTTTTATTTAATTGTATTTTATATATAATGTTATAAACAATGCTTGACAACTCAGATTCATCGCTTTAAGATAGCAAACATAAGTAATTAATGAAATACAAATTAATTTATATAAATATTAAAAACGTGAAAATTTTATTGTAGCTAATATAAAATTTTCTTAAATAAATTTAAACAAAATATGCTACAAAAAAATTTTTAGTAAACAACTCTTTTTTTTCAACAATTAAATAATTTAAAAAAAAAAAATATATATTTTTTTTAGCTATCTTATATTTACAAAAAGAAAACAAAAAGAAATTAACATCTAATTTTTTTTTTTTTTTATCTAGAGCTTTCATAGATAACTATTTATTTTTCATCCAGATATTTCTTTTTATTCTAAAAAAGATTAATAATACTTCTTATTAACTAAATATTCAAAATATTGAGTTAATGCATTTTCCTTAATAGTAAAGGTTATATGTTATTATCTATTTATTTCACATTATCTAATACAACTTCATTAAGCTACTTATACGTTAATAGATATTTTTGTGATAAGCAAAACTAGGAATGTTTAATTTAGATTAATAGAGTATATTAGCCTTTTACTTATGATTTACTATTATAAGTAAAATAAAAAGTTAGTCATACATTATTGTATTTTGAGAAAATAAAAATCTACATAATAGAAAAAACGCATAGTTAGATAATTATTTACAGATAAAAAAAAAATTTACAAAAAATTTTTTTTTTAATTATATCTTAATTCAAAAAAAATAAATATTTTTTTTAGTAATAATAGAAGTTTAAAGCTTAAATGTTTATAAAAAGATTTTATTTTTATTAATTTTTAATTTTTACTAATCATTAAAAAGATTGTTGATAGATCTAAAGAAAAACTATTACCTTACATAAAAGGGTTATTTTAAATAAAATTAGGTTTTTATAACAGGAATTTAGGTTTTAATAAAAATAATGAGAAATTTTTTATTAAATAGGATAGATATATTATATAAAAACAAATATTTTTTTAAGGACAATAAAAAAGTTAAAGCTACACATTTTTATTTAAATAATTATATATATTATATGAGAAAAAACCACTTGTTTAATGTTATGCATTATAATTTATAAAATTTTCTAATATGTAACGAAGTTATTTTTGGAATAATTAAAGTTAGTTGAAACCACTATATATTCTCTCCATTAATTTGTTTATTCAATATTGTCAAGGTCATTAGATAAAAAACTAATATATTAACTTTTCATTCTCTTCCTTAAAATTTTTTTAATGCATATATTGATTCAAATGTCTTTGAACAGATGACTGACAATTAAGTAATATAAAACTTTTTTCTTTTTTCTTATATTATATAGAATTACACCGTGTCTACATTATAAATTATTAACATACATTAAGGGGAATGGCTCTTCATTGTATTATCTTTATGTTAAATTCTTTTGTCACTTTACTGATATAAAATAACATGTATATTATTCTTAATTTCAATCTATTAATAAATTTTGTCTTTCTACTACGAATATGAATATTGTCATTTGTTTTAATAATATCAACAAGGACATTATTTATTAAATTCATAATGGACAGTAAAGAGTTATAATAGTCTTGAATTGCTAGTATATTTTGTCTTATAGCAAGAAACGATGATCTACCTCCTATGCTTAATTTAGTTTCATTATATATTTTCCTTAGATCTTTCAATTCATTCAAAGAAGTTTCCACTAACTTTTTTGATTCAGAGTTATTTTCATCAAACTTTTTCTCACTGATTATTGTGTTAATTTTTTTAAAAAATAAAAAAATTTTATTAAGGGATTCAGCTTTTTTTAAAAAAAATAAATATCTTAGAGATCTTAATATATTTTCACATACAGAAATTAACGTTCTTTTTCCTGTTTCACTACCTAACAAGTGAGCTAAAGATGTGTTATTTATATTCATTTCTTCATCCTTTAAATTAACCAATGTGGAAGCTTTATTACGATAAAATGAAATGTCTTCCTCTTCTTCTAATAAAATCTTGGATATTATTTCTGAGATATTTTTTTCATAAGGAGTTATCATTCTTTCATTAAAAATTATTTTATTATTCATATACTGATCATTAAGAAGATGAAATAAAGTTTTTACTAACATTTTGTTATCTTTATATGAAATATTTTGTGAACCAAAAAATGCTTCAAAATCCTTAAAGCATCTATTGAATAACATCGTTGAATTATTATATTTATCGATAAGATCACCTAAAAGATCTATATTTAATTTATTAAATGGTAGTGTACCTTTTTCAAGAGATACTTCAGTAATGTTCATTAAATCATCTAAATTTTGAAAGATTTCATTATATAATAAAGCAGATTCTTCTGAAATTAATATATATTTACTAACAAAAAATTCATAATAAAGACTACTATTCAAAACTCTTTCCATTATTTTATGTGATTCCAAAATACGTTTAATTCCGCTGAGTAAACTATTAAAGCATGATATAGAGCTTCGTATAGCATTAATTATTTTTTGTTCATTTTTAATAATATATTTTTCTTTTTCATTAGATGCTAGTAATAAAAAAAACTTCTTATTATTCATCATATATTTATATGTTTTATTTTTAAAATAATGATCTTCCATTTCATCTAAAATTGTAGGATCAATATCTTGTATTGCAATATCTGAAAATCTTTTTAACGAATCAATGTTAAAATATAATACTTTTGCAAATTCATTGTATTCATCTTTTAATGAATTAAATTTATTCTGTAAAGAAAAAATCATTGTCAAAAGTTTTTCTAAATCTAATTCAAAAACATTTGATAAAAGCAATGAAATAAAACTTTTATTGCTAATTGTAGAATCACTGGTCTCTGGAGAATCTGTACTACAACTGGGAATACTCTCACATATAGTAACTTTATCTTCTTTACCACGTTTGCGAAGTTTTCTTTTTTTTACAGAATCTTCTGTTATTTGCTCACATTTTCTCTTAAGTAGACTATTACAATCCTTTTCATTATTATCAGTGTTCATTCTATAATTGAAAAAAAAGATTATTTATATGGATAATATTTATTTAAAAAAATATATACATCAATATATGAAAAAAAAAAATACTTACTTCTCCTCACATGAAATATTTATCACATTTTGTAAACTACTAATAGTATTTTTTATAAAATTATCTACTGCTCCTGAATTAATAGATGTATACTGTAGATTGCAAGTTTTATATTGTGAATCAGATTGATTATTTTGTAAATTAATTAATTCATCTTGTAAATTATCAACATTAGTTCGTAAAATAGAATATACAAATTGTAAAGCAGAATTTGTTTGAAAATTTGAGCTACTGTTTTGCAAATTAAAACTGTTGTTTCGTAAATCATGTGGTGCATTTTGAGAATTATTTATATTACTTTGCAAAACAAAATATATATAATGTGGATCATATGTAGTGCCTTGTAAATTAATAGAATTATTCCCTGTAACATTGACCTCATTTGATGCACTAGAAGTACCTGGTAAATCACAATATATGCTTTGTAAGATACTTTCAAATACTTGTGAATTAGAAGTATTGTTTTGCGAACTAGATGTATTAGTTTGTAAATTAATAGAATTATTCTCAGTAACATTAACCTCATAATATGCACTAGAAGTACTTGGTAAATCACAATATATGTTTTGTAAGGTACTTTCAAATACTTGTAAATTAGAAGTATTGTTTTGCGAACTAGATGTATTAGTTTGTAAATTAATAGAATTATTCTCAGTAACATTAACCTCATTTGATGCACTAGAAGTACCTGGTAAATCACAATATATGTTTTGTAAGGTACTTTCAAATACTTGTAAATTAGAAGTATTGTTTTGCGAACTAGATGTATTAGTTTGTAAATTAATAGAATTATTCTCAGTAACATTGACCTCATTTGATGCACTAGAAGTACCTGGTATATCACAATATATGCTTTGTAAGGTACTTTCAAATACTTGTAAATTAGAAGTATTGTTTTGCGAACTAGATGTATTAGTTTGTAAATTAATAGAATTATTCTCAGTAACATTAACCTCATTTGATGCACTAGAAGTACCTGGTAAATCACAATATATGTTTTGTAAGGTACTTTCAAATACTTGTAAATTAGAAGTATTGTTTTGTGAACTAGATGGACTATTTTGTAAATCAAAGATATAACATGGTAAGTTATAAATCTTATCATTTAAAACAAATAATACCTCTTGTATATTTTGTTCAGAATTAGTTTCATTACCTAATGAAGCATCTAAAGGATTCATATGAGCTTCTATATTTCTACATTCATCTCCTTCATTTTGTAAATTAGCAAATTCCCTCTTTTCTTCATCAGTACATCTAAAAATAAAATAGAATGTATATATTTGTAAAATGTCTATTTAATAATGAAAAGTTTAAGAATAAAAACTTTTAAAAAATGATATACGTTTTTAAAAGGAAGTTCTCTTCTTTCTTTTGAAATTCTTCTGAAACACAAATTTTAACTAATCCATAAAATTGTAAAAAGAAAAAAAAACATCCTATATATAACATTCTTTTAATTTTATAATATATAAATCTATGAAAGTAAAATAAATTATACAATAAAATGTATCTCCTTATATTAATTATAATTTATTTTTTCTAGGGATTAAAGTATAATACGTAATAATTTATTATAATGTTAAAAAAATATATTATTTATTCTTTATATGGTTTATGAAAGAATAAAATACCCTTATGATACCTCTTATAAAAATTCATTTTTATTTAATTTGAATCATATAAATCATAAATTATCACCTTTTTATCTGAAAAGTTAAAGGATACTTCACTATTTTTAAAAATTACTAATTCATAAAGTTACTTGTTCACCATCTATGAAATGTTTTAATTTGCATATACTAATATGTAGGATAAAACATCTGAATCAAATTAAGAAATGATTTTAATTAGCCATTTAATATATATATATCAGAAATTGAGCATAAATTTATGAAGCATGTAAATGGATTAAACAGAAGATATATATGAGATGTCTAGAATAAAATTTCTTAATATATATTATACTATATTATTGTATCAATTAAAAAATATATTTTTTTTTTAATAAATTCTAAAAATTACAAAAAACAATTTATTCTAAATTTGAATTAATTGATCTCCGCAATTGTAAGGATTTATATTTAGTATGATTTATCTTTTTAACGGTAATTAAGAAAACATAAATTTTATCATTCATAAATGAAAAGAAAAAAGATAAATTTATACTGGTTAAAAAAAGTATCATTCGAAGTACATATCTCAAAAGAGCATGCATGCAAAATGGGATATTTAAAGACTAAATTTTTATATTTTGAAAAGAAATGAGAATAGAAATATTATTTATTTTAGTATAAATGATAACTTCATAAAAAATATTACTATTTTTAATTTTTTTTTTTTTTTTTTTTTAAAGTAATTATTCTTTTGTTTTAAAAAATACATGTACATAATTAATTTTATTTTCTTATTTCTTTTAATCTAAAAAATGAAAAATGATTTAAAAAAATGAAAAAAGACACAATTTCAAAAAATACTAAATTATTTAATAATTGTGATAATATATATTGAATAAAAGGATAATGAAAAATATAATACTAAAATTATCTAAACAGTTATTGTAGAATTTACAAAATGAGAAAAAGAAAAAAATTATACTAGTAAATTCCTATGAAAAAAATCAAAATAATAATTAATGGAATTAAAATTCTTCTATTAAATATTTCATTAGTCTACTTATAAAATTTTTCGTTTTTTTCTTTTCAAATTAAGTTTCATTTGATATGTTTTAATTTAGTATTTCCAATTTCTCGTATGAAAAAAGGAAAATAAAAATAATATTATAACAAAATAAAAAGTATTAATAAAAAAATTCAAATAATTAAAAAATGAGGAAATATTTCATATATAACTTATAAAATAATTTTATGTAAATTAAAAATTAGAAATTACAAACATATAAATATAATATTAATTATCAGTTAAAAGATTTTCATATAGAATTGAACAAAAAAATTATTAAAGAGCATGCAGAGCTTTCTTTAATATTATTTATTGTAAAAATATTTTTAATAACCAATATACCATTTTAATATAATTACATTATATCATGTTAAATGAATATAATACTTCATGCATCATTTGTAACCTTCTATATAAAGCACGTTAATTCAATATTTTATATTTCATAAACGAAATAACGTATGTAATATCTAAAAAGATTAAAGTTTTTACTTATTTATATTAAATTTTAATGAGTTCATCTGATAAAAAAGATTTAATTCTACATGAAATCACTTTTTATAACAATTAGTGTTTTTCCTTAGAATTATTTAAAAACCATTTCAAATTATTTTATATATTCCATAAAAATTAATTCTCTTCAAAATGTTTTTCAAAGTACGAAAAATATCATTTTTTTTTTTTTAAACAAAATATAAATAAAATGAAAAAAGTTAAAATTAAGAAAAATAGAAACAATGATACATCTAATAAATAAAAAAATTATCTTTTTTCATATATATAGCTATATAACTATTTTTTATATTTAAATTTTAGATATTTTCTCCATTATCTCACTTTTATAACTTTTTATTTTATTATTATTTTATAAAAGATTAATAACATCTTTTATTAATCAATAAATGATTAATATCTTTAGTTGCAAAATATTCTTACAATATATTATTTTTTATGGAATTTTATACATATACATTGACTATAAACTTTTCCTTATAAATGTATTTATCATCTTTCATAAAGAATTAAATAAATTATCTTTTTATTTTATTATTTAAATAAAAATATACATCACGATAGTAAAAATTCTTCTTTTCTCACAAAAAAACTAATTAAATTTTTTTTTTTTTATGACTATACAATATCATTTTTGTCTATATTACTACATTTTGTTTTCATATACTTTTGCTATGTATATTAGTCCTATTTCATATTGTTTTATGAACTTATGTCCTTTAATACCTTAATAATACTTTTTAATAACCCATTATATAGTTACGTTTATTAAAACGAGTATATAATATACTTATATGAGGGTAATTATATGTCTATTATTAACTACACATTAAATGTAAACTAATTATGATTATATAAAATTAAGAAAGAAAAGTTGTCTACAAATAATTTAAATTTATCTATTAATTCTTTTTTAAAAAAAAAATTTTTTCTTCTTTAATCCTATTTAAAATGACTTTATAAATAGGATTAAGGAAGAAACTTATTAATGATATAAACTATTTTAACATAAAGTAACGATTAATTAACTATAATAAAAATTTTTAAATTTAATTTTTCTAGTACGCATTATTTTTTCTTTTACATACGTTACTAAGAGAATAATTTCATATTTAAAAATTAACATTCATAAGAAAATATTTTAATAAAAATTTTGTGAAAACATACACTGTTATCACATTTTTTTTACTTTGTTTCTTTACTTTTTTTATTCATTTATAATTTTATAATTACATTATATTCTAATTTTTTTTATTTATTTTACTAAGAATAGGACTTCTTGGTAACATCTTGGAGAAAATATATTAACATAAATAATTCTTCCATATAAATTATAGTTCATTAAATCATCATTTTGCTTTAAAATTTCGTTAATTTTTTTATTCTAATATATATTTAAACAAATAAAATAATATATACACTATTCTTGATAACTTATTAGACAATTTTAATTAAAATGATTTTTTTTTTTACGGTTTAATTTTCTTCTCTGTTTTTTCTAAAAAAATATTTTTTTAAATAAATTTTGATTTTTTCTATAAATCACTAAAAATAGATATCATGATGAAGACATAGTAATTGCATTTTTCTGAAAAAATTCTTCATTTATTTCTTGAATATATTATTTTTCTGTGTTCACCAATTCACATAGCCATCATCATTATTATATTTGAGAATAATTGAAAGTTTTATAATATTTATTATATTTTTTCAATTATTATAACTTATCATAATTATTTTATATTCCTCAAAAAATTTTCATTTTCTTTTTAATTTAAATATTCATTTATATATGTATTATTAATAAAATAAATATTAACTTTATTTCATTTTCTCAAAATGATAATTAATACGCCAAAAGATAATTATATTCTGATTTATATTATTTTTACTTATCTAAAAAATTGTATATGATGTAGCCTCATAAAAATATGATATAAAATAATTATTTTTTTTTATTTTACTTCTTATAAAATAGTTTATTATGTTTTCTATACTTTATAATAAATTCAAAAACTAAAATTTAATTAATAGCTAATGTAATAAATATGTGAATTTTTATGTATAGAGTTAATCAAAAATAAAAAAAAAAAAAAATTAAAAACAATAAAGTCTCTAATAATGATTTATTATTTGTCTTTTTGTTAACTATGGTAGAGTACTAAATGAACAACTTAATAAAGATATGGTAGAGTGGTTTTTATTAATTTTAATTATTAAAAAAATATACTTTTATTATGAATAAACTTTATTCTTATGATTTGCATAAAAGAAAATTAATTTTGTTAGAGTTATATATTTAATTTAAATAAACATTTATTTTTATTATAAACTTAAATCTTCTTTATATAAAGCATTAATTAAGTATAATATAATCTTTTCAAATAAAATAATTATTTACGTTAGTGTTATTAACAATCTTCACAAAAAAAAATACATAAAAATTAAATATAAACAAAAACAAAAAGTATTGATTTTTTTTCAATTTTTAATATAATTTTATCTTGAAATCAAAATTAATTTCAAAGAGAATATTTAATTAATCGTAAAAAAAAATATTTTTTTTACTCCTTTTTTTTTTTTAACTATTTATTTCCTTAAAGATTGAATATTAATGGATAATTTGTTGTCATTTGTATGATTTGCCAAATATTATTTTATAAATATTTACTAACATTTCATTAACTAAATAATGATTTATTAAATGATCATCTAAATTTTTATATGGAATATTAAACAGAAAAATTAATAAAAAGTGTGTGGAGATATATCTACTTATTTTATTTATTATAAACTTATTTATAATAGGTAATTTTATAATCCTTTTAGAATTATGTTATTTGTAAATAAAAGAAATTATTGATCTTTTTTAGATTTTAATATGAAAAAAAAATATATTCATCAAAGTTGTTAGTGCATGCAAGATATTCGAAAGATTCGTATACAAATTATATATACTAGTGCATGTATTTATGAATACATACCTTTATAAGCGTATCTAGAGATATGAGTTCAAAGATATGAATAACAAAATATTTATAATAAAGTGCATTTGTATTATATATATATATATATATATATATATATATATATATAAACATTTTTTATTCATCAAATAAATAAAAATGTTTGACTACTAAATTAATTATTAAAGAGAAAGAGGAGACTCTATAGGAAAAAATATTATATATCTCCTCATTTTAAGAGATATATTAATGGAATGGGAATTTTTATTTTATTTTTTAGTATATTATAAT